GATGGATTGTAGGGTAGTCCGTGACAGAAGTTTGTTGGCGTGCATATGAGAGACGGAGAGCACTGCAAACCGGCTGAAAGAACCTGGTGGGGAGCTGTTTTAAGGTCGTCGCATCATCACATGTAAGTGTGGTCAGGCAAATGAACTTCGACAGGGACCCTAGCTTCCCAGACATTGGTTGCGTTGAAGCGCGGGTCCCGCTGAATAAAGCATGGTGAGTCTGCAATGAGCTTAGTGTATTCAGCTAGCGCTATGCTGTTCCACTCTGCCCAGCTTCCCCAGGTTTGAGACTAGTGTGGCTTACGTAAACAGGATCGCGACTGGCGTGGAACTTGCCGTGTCGTTGGCGCTCCCTGCACTGGAACACCCGGACTATGTACCTGGATGACAAATTCTTAGGCTTTCCACGATGCCTTGAAAACCGGCAACCAGGGTCGTAATACAGATTATACGAATGTCCGATTTCCCCTAACCTGGTTTTTCACATCAAGAGTACCGAGAGGAATCATGAAACTTTCAGGCATTGCCGCGGTGCTAGCCGCCGCCCTGCTCGCGCCGGCGACAGTCGCAGCCGAACATACAAGCAACTGGGCCGTCCTCGTTTCGACATCCCGATTCTGGTTCAATTACAGACATCTTGCCAATGTTCTCTCCATGTACCGCACAGTCAAACGCTTAGGTATACCAGATTCGCAGATTATCCTCATGCTGCCCGACGACATGGCCTGCAACCCACGAAATGCCTTCCCAGGCACAGTCTACTCGAATGCCGACAGGGCGGTCGACTTGTACGGTGACAATATTGAGGTGGATTACAGGGGTTACGAGGTGACGGTGGAAAACTTCATCCGGCTCCTGACGGACAGAGTGGGCGACGAGATGCCCAGGAGCAAGAGGTTGTTAACAGATGACCGAAGTAATATCCTGGTGTACATGACAGGACACGGAGGGAACGAGTTTCTCAAGTTTCAGGACGCGGAAGAGATTGGGGCTTTCGATCTGGCGGACGCATTCGAGCAGATGTGGGAGAAGAAGAGATACCACGAGATCCTCTTCATGATCGACACCTGTCAGGCCAATACCATGTACAGCAAGCTGTACTCCCCAAATATCATCGCGACCGGGTCCTCCGAGCTGGACCAATCCTCATACTCTCATCACGCCGACAACGATGTCGGCGTCGCGGTCATTGACCGGTACACATACTACAACCTCGAGTTCCTGGAAAAGGAGGTGCGAGACATCAACAGCAAGAAGACGGTGGGCGACTTATTTGACAGCTACGACTATGAGAAGATTCACTCCCACGCCGGCGTGCGATATGATCTCTTCCGTGGGGGTGCCGAGGCTGCACGAAGTCGCCTGATTACCGACTTTTTCGGTAATGTGCAGAACGTCGAAGTGGATGGATCGAAGAATACGACTCTGGAGGAGGACCTCTTGGCGCTCAGCAAGACTATCGCGGCGCTGAAACAGAAAGCGGATGAAGTTGAAGCGGCAGAGCGGAATAACAGCACACAAGCAACCAAGAAGCACCCTGAAACCCACAAAGTGCAGCTTGCGAAGCCGCTGACAGATGATGACTGGTGGACAAAGAAGCTATTTGGCGCCACGGCGCTGGCGGGTTGCGCTGCGTTATGGGCTGTAGGTTCATATTTCGAGAGCTCATAGTAATTCAACTCCATGGGAAGACGCCATGGTGACAGTGCCTAAAACGAAGGACCGTTTCGAACTTAAAGCATCCTTTTCTGCCAATACCGCTCTGAATGTGACTTGACATCTCTTGATCAACTTGCCCATCACAGTTTTACTCCCATAACCTAGCTGTAGCTACGTGCAATCCCGCCGACGATCGCGTGTACGTTTACTGCGAACCATTTGTTGGCTCCACATCCGAGCGTCCATCGCAAATTCCAAGACAAACGAAATATCATTTGAGTCTCAACCATAACTAACAGCTTACACCAGAAAAGTTGTAAACGTCAATCTTTAGTCATGTTATAGCGCTACCATAAATTCATAAACACCCTTTTCAGCCTTTAGCTGGTCACATTCGCAAGCCATCGGGATGAAAGCTTCCAAGGTGGAAGCCAAGGTCAGTCACCTACACTCACCTACGCCCTGTTACCTCAGTACATCCTGACGAAACGACCCAGATCCCACCCTTGAATGACATTCCCCTCAACACCCGGCCCCTCTGCAAACGCGCCCTAGCATGGTCCTCTGATGGCGAACTCGCGGTAGCGGCAGATGATAGCGTGCACATCTTCGTCCCGCTCTTCCCAGACACCACCAACGACGACGACCAGGAGAGCGAGAATGAGACCAATGCTGACTCCAGCGATGATGAGAATGATCTCCGTCCAGACTTTTTGCGCCAGAAGCGCGACAAGGTGGTCAAAGGTCAGGCGCAGTTTGCTGGTCAGAATGGACAGATCCTGACGGCGTTTCCGAGGGTGGATCCGAGGGCAAATGAGGAGGTCTGGAGGGCCGTTGGGGAAGAGTTCCCTTGGGGCGACAGTGGAAGGGGTGCGAAAGAGGACATCGTGATGGATCATGGGGATGGCGAAGGCGATGGAGAGTTTGGAGGGGATGGGGCTGATGACGACGAGGTGTATGGAGGAGATGAGCGAGTCGATGACCTGCTCGTCTTCGGGGCAGGGAAAGGAGCAATCTCAAGGGCTGGCTCGGGCTTGAACCATGTGGTTGCGTTGGCCTGGTCACCATCGGGACTAGGGAGGAATAGAAGGCCTATTCTGGCGGTGTTGACCTCGGCTGGGTATATTGGCTTTTACGGTGATGGACCGGCAGGCGCACAGGGTAGTGGCGGCCTTGGGTCGGTGGGACAGAACGAAGGCATGCTGAAGCAGAGGGACATGACGACGTGGATTACGTTGTTTGGGGCGGGCGAAAAGCTGGTCGTGCCTGGCCAAGACACGAACGTTATCGAAAAGATCTGCAGCTTCGCTTGGGCAAGAGAGATTGCACCAGGGCAGGCCCTGCTGGCTTATACGAACGATGATCAGGAAGTGGCCATTATCAGTATACAGTCCGAGTACACCGCAATCGAAGACAGCCAGTCACAATCGGATAGGGCCGAGCGAATGACATGGCGTGTCTACGAGGTTGCGAGGTTCAGCGCCAAGGGTCCGCATCCGAGAGGAAACATATGGGATACAGACTGGACACCGTCTGGATCAGCGTTTGGGCTGAGATGGAGTCCTTGGCTGTCACCAGAAGGATCTCGGTCCTGTCTCTTGTCATATGTCGCTAAAAACTACATCGGCTTCCGGAAGATCACTGTGAAAACACCGTGGTCTCCAGGAACCGTACCGGAGGTTACGGTGGAGGAAACAGACTCGTACGGCGACTGCCACTTTCTGTCTACGGACAGCTTCGTCGAGTTCGAAGATGCCATCTGGACCAAAAGAGATGCCAAGACCGTTCGCGGCCTCATATCCACGGGCTTCGACGTCAGGCCTTTCGAGGTGTCCATCGCCGGACCCCAGCACCACCCATTCACAGCAGAACCTCATAGGACCAAGGACTGCGATACAACCTACCGACATCTCGAAGAAGGCGGTAAACTATCCACCAACCCCGTCGTCGACCTCTTCATCCACCCGCCCAACCTTGCCACACCAACCGAAACCCCGACCTTTACACTTGTCCGACTCGCTGCCACATCCAGTAACGGCGATTGGTATCAGACGAACTCCCTCCTGGCAGACATCTCCTCTACCAAGGCGCGCGACGCCAAGCCGCAATGGGTCGTCGATATGGCCCACAAACTATCCGTCCTTGTCCCAGCCGACGCCCACATGCGCCATCACGTCGGCGAGGATGACGACGACGATGCAGAATCAGTTGGTTCCGGCGACGCCAATAAGGATGACGGTGAAGCCGGCATGTCAGCCGATGGGGAAGAAGATATCGAAAACGCGGTGCAGCAGCCTGAAGTCCATCCTCATCGGTTCTTCCTCCACGGTCTCGCCGCCGCACCAGGTGGAAAGGCCACAGCCGTGCTGGTAAGTACACATAGCACGCAGACGCCGGAGCGAACAGGTTGGTGGGGTCTCCGGAGTACGGTCATGTTTGGCTACCTCAACCGCCCGAAGAAAAGACCAACTTCCGACCAGCAACCGCCAGCCTTCCACCGCCTAACCACAGAAGGCCGTCTGTGGCATTGGATGTACGGTGCCGGCCCCGACGTACCGGGCATCACGGCATCTGACCACCCGACCAACGGATCAGCCATCATGTCCAGTCCACGAGATATGTTCACCGACCTGGTAGAGTCACAGACATGCGACTTCTGCGGGACAGCGTTGGCTCCGTCGGCGGGCAACCGGGGGATGAGTATCTGCCAACAGGGACATTACTTCTCCACTTGTGGTGCAAGTGGTTTGGCCATCCAGGCGCCGGGTATATCACATACTTGTGGTGCTTGTGGAGCTAGGACGCTCAAGGTGGAAGAATTGTTGAGAAGGGCGCCGGGGTTACAGGAAAGAATCGGTGAGGCTGTTAGGGGGGATGTGTGCGGGAACTGTGGAGGCAAGTTCGTCGACTAGATGGCATGCATCATTAGCTCTGTGTCTCAATCAAGATGGATGCCTCAATCCACGGGGCTGAGCTGCGGTCTGTCAGGTGCTCACGGTCTAAAATCCTCATTTAGTAGTGTACATTAGACCTGATCATGTGGTGGTGATGGCTAGATATCACTACCCATGCTGTGCAGCCTGAACCTTGCTAGTACATGACCACGAGCAGCCACTGCAGTACCCTATAGGATCTAAGCAATGACTGCCGCAACGTCACCTGTCTCATCTCAACAATAACACAGTACCCCTTCCTACCCGCAACGGCCCTGAATGTACTCGAAGTCAAGGCTGCGTGTGGTCTCCAGAGCATCATGTTTAGTTATGCAACATGTTATACCTGCAATAACCTGTGCTTGCCATCATTCCTCAAACATTCATTGACCCAAAAAAAAAGAGGTCTACCCACTATCAGGTTCGAACTGATGACCTTGCCACCAACCGGACGCTGTTCTAAAGGTATTTCTTAGGAGACGGTGCTGGCGACACGCTCTGACCACTGAGCTAAGCGGGCTTGCGTTTCTCGTTGCTTTACTGTATCCAGTTTCTCGTTGATATGTGGCCTTTGGTTGCCCAAGGTTTCTGGGCACATGCAATGTACCTTGGCAAGGGGTTTTACAGACAAGACAGGAGCACTTGGCGGGCTGAGGCGCTCCAGACGGTTGGGGATTGTGAAGATAGCACCACTCCATGACTCTCGTTACACGGCAGAGGCCATCAAACTTGTATCATATTCGTACGAGGGCCCTAAGCTATGATTTATGTCGTTTCATGAATTAGCCGTCCATAAGCAGGTTAACCAAGCCACAGTTGCGAAAATGGATGGATATGAGTCCAGCAACAGAATCATTGCAGAAAAGATGCTTCGGACATATTACTCCTCCTTCGCTACAAGTCAGTGATTCTGGATCATGAGTACCTATTGAGCTTGGATCCAGATAAGCGAGCGAAAGAGCCTCCTTCTTCTTCTGGGAACCCTGTTGGGCCACTTCACAGATTGGATCAAGGTCAGATGGTGATACATATATGTACCTTATTCTTCGCCATTGGCAGAATTCCTTTGATGCATTCGTTCTGTGCATTCCGTATCAATAACTACGGCCATTTTACAATACTCAAGCTCTTTTCTGCTTGATACCAAATCCGCTTAAGCATCACCAAAAACAGGATGGCCTGCCTCCAACTTCTCGATTTCCTTCTTCAGAACATCGATCCTAAAATTCCGGTAGGCCTTCTCAATCCTCTCCTGCCTTCCGGGGTCCACCGTTATCGTCCTGGCCGCCGACCAGCTGCCAGTCAAGAAGCCGGATTCTCCACCGAGGAACAGCCCTCCGAGGCCGAAGAAGAACGTGGTCGCCCAGTCACCAAACCGGCTTGGTCCTTGCAGGAGTGGAGAGATATCAGGGACCGCCTCTGAACAGTTGTGTTAACTCAAACTTAGGATATCTCCGCGCAAGGGAACACGGGCTACATACCAGTCCTCCCATCAGCAAAAATAACCTTGACCGGTTTCTCCGCCGCCCGAAGCGAGGCAAACATGTCTGCCCTCACTCTCCTGAGTCGCACGGCAGCGTAGACGCCAAGTCCGAGGCCGAGCATGGATCCGATCATGGTGTGCGTGGGGATCTTCTTGGAGGCGGACTTGAGGGTTTCTCTGTCTTCCGGGCCGAGATCATGCTTGAAGTGTTCATTGGCTATCTTCTGGAGGTCATCGTATTGATGCGCAGGACGGAATAGAGCTAGACCTGACATTTTGGGCGGGTTGGTTGGGAGGGCCGGGATGCTCGGAGTTGTGAGATGTGTGCTTCTAGGGTATGTAAATGTTGAATGAGGTTTGAGGTTTGAGTGAAGTCGTGAAAGTAAGATTTTATCAGGTGGCTCGTCAGTGTATTAAGAAAGGAGAAAGGTAGCCACTTAATAAGAAGTTGAAGGCTAGGCTACTGGGAGTGGTCAACCTCATGATTGTGACGCTGTCGTGGTGAGACTGGGCTGTGGAGTCGATCCCGGGGACCTTGTAGATCATGAATGATATCACTATGATCTCGAACTGTCGATGCTGTGGACACCATGTGAGAAATGCCCGACTGGATTCAGCCCCAAAACTCAATCGGATATAAAAAAACATGGGATTCTTCAGAAGCTGGGGGTTCATACGCAGGTGCAAGTAAATATTGATTCATTCAGACCAAATTGCGCTATGCACCTTCCGGTTCTCCTCCATCCCCTATCGCAGTAACAAATGATACGCTTCACTCCAGCCATTAGCCATGAGCACGCATGAAGGACCCAACCCGTACCATACCCCTCTCCATGCTATTCGCAAGAACCAGGTCAACAGACCCGGCCATAGCCGAGCGACCAGGGCTGTGCAGTGCAGTTGCAGAGCGGCAAGGAGAAGTATACACATTGACCAAATGACACACCGCACCGGGTGCCCACCAGGCCTAGATAGACCTGTGCTAATGAAGCGAAGAAAAAGTCCGCTGTGAGGAGCAGAAAGAAAAGAAAAATCTCAATCCATTGTTCCAGAATTCATAAAGTGCCTCCCCGCGGCAATCTTCCCGTGACTGGTTCAATCCTAGTAAAACCGTGTATCCGGGTAGCTATCTGTCTACGAAGCCTGTCCAGGAACCGGCTTACGCTCGACAGGGGCCTGCTGTGGTGGAGCGGTGTATTGCTGCTTCATGGGGCTGGGGCCAGGTCGGTTCATCCCGGCTGGGCTTTGTGGGCGGGCTTGCTGATAACGAGGACCCGGTGACTGAGGTCGTTGGCCGCTCGCAGGGCTCATCGGACGACCTTGTGCACCGGATGCGGCTCGAGGTCGTTCCATGGGGTAGCCGCCAGTCGGCGTTTGCCTTCCGCTCTGAGCAGAGCCGGGTCGAGGATATTGACCGTTGGTGGGCGAGTTGCGACGGCTTTGTGCTGATCCCGGTCGTTGGTATTGAGGGCCGCCATAAGGACCAGCTTGGGGAGGCCCATTCATAGGACCAGGGCCACGGTTGGGGTTCACGGGAGGACCAGGACGTTGACCGCCGGGAGCTGGTCTTGGCTTCACGGGACGAGTGGACAGACAAGTGCGTGGTACCACTCCCTGCTGTGACCGGTCCAGACGAATACAGAGGGCCTAGACGTTCATTAGTACCGGGTCCCTACCCCAAGGAAAAGATATCTTGACTTACCCAACCATCATCATATTCATGTAACAGGCGAACCAGTTGGCCAGCCCTAAGTTCCATCTCATCCTCCATCGTAGGCTTGAAGTCAAGCTGGACACGGTGAACAGTGGACTGAGGAGGTCCGCCCGCAGCCGCAATAGCAGCGGCACTACCGGATGGGCCGGGATTCTGGCCAGGTGCGACCGAGTTGAAGCTAAACTCGGTTCCAGCTGGACTGGCAGGCACGGTCTCAAGAGGCCTAGGCATGGTCAAGTCCAGTGGCTGAGGAGCAGAGGTGTCTTTGCGTAGGGAGGCCTTCCGAGTCAAACCACCGCCCTCAATCTGTCCCTGAACATCAGGAGTCTTTGCGCGGTCAGAAGCACGGCGAGTGATATCCAAAGCCTTGGGGGCGTTCCGCCGCTGGATTGAGGTCTGACGGGCCAAGCCAACAGCCACACCCGCAGCAGCACCAGCTTCGACGCTAGCGCTGTTGTTACCAGCAGCATCGGTCTTGGCAGCATTGCGTGGAGGAGAGTTGGTGGTGATGGCTGTGCCGACTTCGCTCGCATTAACACTCATCGGGCTGACGGGGCGAGTCTCCTCTTCGGGTATCGGCGTGTACGTGCGAGCGGCGTGGTTGCCGAAGGGGTTCTCAGGATTGTTGTTCTGGTTTCCGGGGAGATTACGGCTATTCTGGGTTGTCATCGCGATGTTTGCGCCACGGCTGGCACGTCTATCGGGATGAGCATTCAGGTTGGGGGAGAACTGAGAACCTGGGCGTAGGCTTAGACGAGGTGCCGCGGCGGCAGTGGTAGGAGTCGATGACGCTGCCTGAATAGCATGTTTGTCGGAGAAAGGACCATTTCTCTTCTCGTCCTCCTCCATGTCACGTTTCTCTTGCTCCAGCTGCTTTTTGCGTCTAGTAAACAGGAAGTATATTGCCAAGAATGCCACCAGAACACCAGCCAGAATACCGATCGCTATACCAGCCTTTGCCGCACCACTAGTACCCTCGGATTTCGAGGCATCAGAGGTAGGCGTTGGTGTTGAGGTAGCAGCGTCCGTGGCCTGACGATGGGGAGTTGTAAGGCTTGTGCTAGTGGTCGGGGCGACGGCCAGAGTCGTGGGAACGGCATCAGTGGAAACGCTCGTGATTTCGGACAGGTCGCTGGTAGTAGGCTTCGCCGAGGTAATCAGCGTGGTTGCGCTGGTTGTCGAGGGCGTGGTCTTGGGTGCCGTAGACGATTCCGCAAGTTCCAGGGTCGTGGTCGTGGGTATCGAGGTCGGCGTCTGCTTTACAGGGGGAGCGACGGTTGATACGGAAGTCGGATGGATAGTTGACAAGATCGATCCGCTCCAGTCACTAGGCGTCATTGTAACGTAAACTGTGCGATAGCTCGTCGACGGCGTCACTTCCTTGTTGACTGTCGAAAACGCGTCCTTGAGCGCGCCGGCCATCTTGGACGTGACCTTATCCCAGACATCCTGCTCTCTCTTGTCGTGCACATGCACGTGTCTACGATGGTGGTGCGGCATCGTGTTTGATCGTCGCTCCTTGGCTATGATACGATGGCGTCCAAGTCTGCGGGAACAACTTCCACTGCCGTTCGTCTATGTCTTCCTTCCTAATTGAGAATTCGTGATCGATCACAGAGCCACAAGTCATAAGAGTCGTGGAAGAGGTAATCAAGTGTGTTCGGTATCGCGTAAAATGAACGTTGGGCTAGCAAGTCAATGCTGCGGGTAAAGAACGGTTGACGGTTTGTTGAAGAAATGAATGTGAGGTGACTGAGAAACAAGTGAACAGTCCCGGGTCGAATCGACAATGTCTCAGAGTTTCATCAAGAAAGTGAATGTGGTGACTCGACGCCTCGAGCGGTCAAACGATGGGACGAAGAAACAGACAAAGTTCTTCCAGGGCGAAAAGAACTGAAGGCTGGAATGTGAGCGCCGCAGAAAAAGGAAAGAGGAGAGAAAAGGCAGGCGACAGTGCCGAGTTTAGACAGGCAGTGTGGGTGGTGGTGGGTGGCCTAGTGTGACTTGCAAGGAAGGATCGAGCCGGGGTCCAACCAACGGGCAACGGTCGCACCAGGTGTTTGCACCTTTCCCGTTAGCAAGGAACGAAATTGATGCGCTGAATTTGATACCTGTATGCCGGATGACGATGTGGGGAGTGTGAAAGTGAGCAGGGCTCCTTCCCGTACTCTAAGTCCTCACAACTTGCAAGTCTTTGCGCTCTCCGCTTTGCAATTCTACGTCGGTATGTTTGTTTTGTTTACGGACGCGATGCTACCATTGCCCCAGCATAGTATACCTCAGATACCCATCTCACCGTTGCCTCTTCGAAACCACGGCGTCA